ATGTTGTTCATACAAGAACTTAACTTTTAACCGATTCCAAGTCATAGTTTCTAGTCTGCAAGTCTATCAAATTTGCAACTTTTGAACCGTACTTAAGCCACTGTGTCGACCATATATCAAACATTGACATGCGGTCAACAAAGTGCGTTCAATGACGTGCATAAAAACCAAAAGCAACTACAAAAACAACAACAATATGGGACACCCGAGTAGGAGGGGGTGGACAGCACTCAATCAACCAGAGACAGGGACAAACTCTGTCCAAGCTTGGGTACATTGACTGCCAGCCTTATAAAGACGCACAGAAGCACACAGCACGGTAAAATATTGTCGAGTAATCGCTGTCGAAACGCTCGTCGAATGCATTGACGATATAAAGACACACAATGACGTAGTAAAAAAAAATAAATGGCAGAGAGAGCGAATGGAAACTGGGGGAGAATACGTATAAAAATGTTAAGAGGGACTGTTGCAAGTAAAAGATGTCAACAAGCAGCACCGAAATGGAAGCCATTCGGGGAGCTTGCTTAAGTGAGCCCCATAAATAGAGCTGTTGACCAGAGGGAAAGGGTAGATGGGAAAGAGGAAAGGGTTGATTGTGGTCAGTTGTCAAGCAGTTGCCCAGTTATTATAAATTATAAAGCTTTGAAATTGTTTAATCTTATAAGATATAAATCGGATACATATTAACCTTTTACCAAGGCTAAGATATATTTGAAATATCCTTAAAGCGAAATATCCATACTAAGCTCATATTTTCTATCTATATAATTCAATATTTTATTTTAAATAATTACAAGTCTTAAGACAGCTTACATTTTATACATATTTTTTCAATCTAGATTAATTTTATTAAGATTTAAATAAGCTGCCTTAAACTTTAATTTTAACTTTAAATACTTTAAAAGTCATAATGAAAAATCGAATTATTAATACCAATTTTATTATTATTCATATTTTAGTTTAAATGAAATAACAATTCGTTTTGAATACTAAATTTTTAATTTCTATTTGAATTAAAAATTAACCACAAATATATTACAAAATTCATTTAATTATAATTATTTAAATAACTTATTGTTTTATTTTTATTTTATTATTATTTTATAATTTGAATGGAAAAAACCAGAGGTATATAAATATAAATATATCCAATCATTTAATTGAAAAAGTAAACGAATATTTTACCATAATAAATTTATTGACCATAATCAGATTTATGGACTTAATAAAATTGTGAAACATATTTTAAATTAATAAAATTTAAATTAAAATTTATATTAATTGCATTATTATCAGCTTAATTAATTTCCCTTAAGGGCTATTCCATGAAATATTTCGTTATACATTTACCAAGCTACAGCTACAGCACTAAGATAATTAAATCCCACTGCCAATTTTGAGGTTTGGCTGTTAGCCTGGCAAACATCAATTGGCCCGAACCGAATCAATAAGTTAACAAGCAATACTCATATAACCGGTCAGGCGCCACGAACTATTAAATGCATAGCACACACCCTGCAGCAATTTTCCTTTATCACCGACACCCCAGCTCCCCCTTCCCCCTTCATATCACCCCTCCTCCAGCCCGTTGATGTATCCGTTTATCCAATGCCATTTTAGCTTTGGTAACGCGCAAAATAAATGAAAATATAAACCCGACTAACCAAAAACTGATTACTACAAGAGCTCATATATACGCACACACTTTCTTCTCTCTCTTCTTTTCTTTTTCTTGTTTTCGATTTGCAGGCAACCATGCTGGCAACACTGGCGATAACAATCAAACGCCCGTGCGTAATCCGCCCGGGGCATTTCACAATTCTGCAGGCTCACTGGCACAGCATAATCTACTTGGTAAAATAATGCGCGGCATTAAAACGCAATCATTTGGGATTTTCAAACGTTTATCGAGTTATTTGCCAGCGGCGCTGCTAACGTCGCTGCCAGCGACGCGGTGGCGTATGAGTAATATGAAAAACCAGGCCCACACCCAGCCACTAGATGGCGCTGTCAGCGCGCAGTCAAACATAAACAGCAGCATCTGCCAAAGGACAAACAGCGGCGGCGGCAGCACCACCAACAACAAGAACAGCAACAAAAACAGCAACAAGAACAGCAATCGATGGGCGTGGCAGCGTGAGCTGCGCATATTTCACATTGCTCATACGCCGCGTGTGACGCAATGCCATTGGCCAATGCTCATTTGCATAGTAATATTGGCAGGCAGTTATGTTGTTGCCACGGATCCTGTGCCAAAATTGTTGTTGCCGCTGCCGTTGCCGTTGATGTTGGTGTTGCTGCATTTTATCGGCAGCCGCATCGCATTTTCTATTAGTGCGGCGCATAGGCAACATTTAATGTTAACATTTTGGGCTGTTGGTAATAAGGTTGCCGCATTGTTGCCGCAAATTTATACAACAACAGGAGCAGCAACAATAACAACAACAATGGGGCTAACAGCAACCAAGCCAAACACATTTGCTGTGCTTTGCCAGCGCCAGTATTCAAGATGAAATCAAATAATTGCAAAAAACTCATTTAGGGCACAACAACAACAGCAACAAAAACAACAAGAACAACTTCAACAAAAAGCAGCGCACCAAGAGCGTGAAAAATAGAATCAAACTTAGACAAGTAAGCAACAGAATAAAGTTGTGCAAGGCAGCACAAAAAAATACTCATAGAGACACCCTCATACTCATATACCCTATATACTTGAACTACATGCGTATATATGTATGTCGTATATAGTATATAAATATATATCCATGTATAGCTATAATGTTTATACTGGCGCGCGTAAAATGAATATCATGTTAAATGGCACTCGCTCTGAGCGACTGTTGATTAAATGAATAGTCAGCAAAACAGCAATTGGCATTACGAGTATTTCTCTTGGCTTTTAATTGCCAACCAGCACTTGATGGCTGAAAAACACCACTTCGATATTAAGTTTTCCTTCTTCATCTTCAGTTTCGAAGTGCATTGGCATTTTGATAAAGCTAATTGACTACTTAACAGCTGTTTCACTATTCTATGCAAATGGAATTTAATAAAATAGCGTATACATATTTGATAAAAAATCATTAAATAAGTCAGTTAAAATTTCTTATGGCTTGACGGTTGAAATTAACATCTTATTTTTATTTTTAATTATTCATATTTCTACTTAAACTAACACTTTTATCGAATTAACTACCCTTTCAAAGTTTTAAAAGAATTTGTCAAACGCAACGTTAAATTTAACAAATAAATAGTGCAGGTAGATTCAATGCTGTTGGCAAACATTTTATCATTATTATTATTTACCTTTAAATTTCCAAATTGTAATACCATTTCGCTTTGCTATGTGACATAATTTACATATTGATTTCAAAATGTTTTTATCATTAGTTGTTCCTCTTGAATGCGTTCCGAATGCGAACTGCCAAAAGCCAATTGCTGTTGAAATATTATCAAAATTAAAGTGGAAATGTTTGTTTGCTCGGCATGCAATTAATTTTCAAATCAATTCAAATATGCGCGAACTGGAAATGTTTATACACAAATAAATTTATGAAATATGCACAAAAGCAGTAAAAGGACAAACAAACACAAAAGTGAATCCCTCTAAATGAGAGACACAACTGGTGGTTCAGCATGTAAAGTTCAAACAAAAGCTATGCCTATTAAATGAACATAAATTAATTATATTAAACAATATAAATTCATAGCAATAAGAAAAACACTGTTAATCAAATTTGCATTTAGATGAGCGTATTTACAAACACACACACGTACATAGCGAATTTACATAGTAAATTTAGCGAAAATAAAAACAAAAAAACAAAAATGGAAAAAAGCAAAAAAGGTAAAGACACACAATATGCAGAAAATATACATATATGTTTAACTTAGTCATATATTAGCTAGTGATACGGATTACTTAAACAAAAAATCATTGTTTATGAGCTAATTGGAAGGTAAGCAAATTGTTTGATAATAAGCTTACCTTATTAAAGGTAAGGTCAAAGTATTTTTATTAATTTGTTTACAGTTTTTATTTAATTTTTGTTGTTTGTCGAAAAAAGCGGAATATAAACTTTTTTGTCTTTCTATTAAAACATGTAAATAATAAAATTATAAAAATTGTATTACTTCCTCTGCGCTGTAAATAGAAGAGCAAATATTTCAAATAAATTAATCATTGTTTAGCATTTAAGTATTCTTTAAAGAAAATCTAATAACCAAATATAAAACTTTAGGCTATGCTTTCAAACTGTGTAAATATAATTAGGTATTAAATAATGACAGTTAAATAAATGTTGAAATGTTGAAACAAATTAAATATATATATAAACTATTTAAAGCTAATTAAGTAGACAGTAAATATCCAATCAGCATTTAGTACTTATATAAACCTAAAACTAACTAATGAATTGCTGTTGAATTATAGTATACAAAATATATATGTATATGAATTATATGTATGTATGTTAAGCGTACATAGAACGAATAAAGAAGCTCAGATAAATGTATGTCTAGTATCTGCGTACATATGACTATATATATACATTATGATTTCATATTCATATTTATTGTGCAGCTGTATGTGAATACGCTGTGGCATATCTATGTAACATATATTTGTATGTAAATGTATGCAAAAGTTTACAATAAAATAAAACTAACTAATAACTGTGTAAAAAAATATCAAATATTATGCATATGTATATTAATGAGCGTGACAGTTGCCGCCCTTCCTTGATACAACTTTCAAGGACAACACATACCTCTCAGAGAACTTCCCAGAATAGCCATAAGAAGCGAAGAGAAGCATAGCATTATAAACAAAATAGATGTTAATCGGACTGAAAAACTTTAACATATAGTATCATTGATTTAAAAAACGTATTATATATCAAGAGAAATATGGTAAGCTATAGCTGGATGTTTGTGCAGGACTGATCAGTCCAAGGTGAGCTTCCTTTCTACCTTGATTTCTTGTCTTACCATTTCATATATTATTCAAAACTAAACTCACCCTTCCGTCTATTTACAGGGTATTTGAACACAAAGCACTGCATCCAAGCACATAATCGTTGGCAGAAACGACACAAATTACCAAAACCCGAAAGCACACACACACACACACAAACACGTGCGAAGTGGAAAACTGAATGGCAACAACTGAAAACAGTCTCGTCTTTATTTAAAACCGGGCAAAAAGATTTTCTCTCTGCTCCTTTAGCCTCACGTCGTATTCCTATTTAAATATTGTGCAGCTTTTACAGCCGAGGCTCTGTTGAAATTGTTACGGCTGCCATTGAAATGTTGTCGTGTGGAAGTGAGCATATTTTCCAAGCAATTAGTGGTTGGAAAAGCGCACGCCAAATGGACAACAAAGTCGAAGACTGGGTCAAGTGAGCAGCACATAAAAACATTTACATGTAGGCGAATGCATATGGGCACAGTCTGTACGAAAAGCGTCCAATCATCTCTTAGCCTTGAACCAGCTTTTAACAATTTAAAGAAAAAGTGAGTATAATTTGCTTGTATATTTATTATTTAAGCAGGGACATAAAACATATCATGCTTTCAAAATTTAAATAACTATTTCCAAAAACAAAAATATCAGTTAGCCAGGATAGCTGGAACATTTTGGACTCGTAAGGATCAGTACTATCCATTGACATCAAAATATTGAAAATCTAAATTTTCACCCAAATCGAGCAAAAAGCAAGGGGTTACATCACGTTTTTTTGTCCAAATCAGGGTCGGTTCGAAAAACAAAACTTTTTTGATGATTTTTTTTTAATATTCGTGTAAATCTTGTCTGATTTTGAAATGTTATACCTTTTTTAATTCATACGGATCCCTACTATTAAATGGCATTCGAACAAATTAAAAATCGATGGGTTAAAAAAAGTTGTTGACCAAAAATCGATTTATTTGTACAATCAACCTTTTTGATGATCTTTTGAAATATCTCGGCCAAATAATGACCGATTTTTGAATTTTATACCATTTTTGACTCGTAAGGATCAGTACTATCGACTGGCAACAAAAAATTGAAAATCTAAATTTTCACCCAAATCGAGAAAAAAGCAAGGGGTTACATCACGTTTTTTGTCAAAATCAGGGTCGGTTCGAAAATCAAAACTTTTTTGATGATTTTTTTTTAATATTTCAGGACAGGACATCAAAATCGCCTTTATGGTTGCCGAGATATGGATATTGTTATTTTAAAGGACATTAAATTGACCACCTCATGTAGTCCTTATCCCGCCAACATAGAATATGTAATAAAAAGGACGAAATCCTTCAAGGAGCTGAGGAAAAGAGATTTTTGTCGGTTGAGATAAAAGGCTGTAGATCGGCCGTATCCTTGCTGATCATGATGTCAATTTGCCAACCGTAAGTCCTTATCTTCTTTATTCAGTATATATAATAAAAAGGACGAAAGTCCTTCAGGCAGCCTAGATCTAAGTTAAATTCTTGCCGTTTCCGAAATATGCGTATTTTACTAAAAAGGACATTTTTTAAGTAGCCATATCTTGGCCAAATCCTTGAGGATATCGGAAGGATATACATTTTTGAACTAGTGGGGACCAGAACTATCGATTGGCATTCAAGGTTTTCCAAGATTCGACCAAAAATTTTACCAAAATTTGTCATAGGGGTTAGTCGCAAAAGTGCCAAAAATCGAAAAATTCGGGTCTAACTTGGCCATTTGAAGGACTATCGGGATGTCCTTTGGACAGTAAATAGTGCTTATCCTCCCATTTAAGAAAATATAACAAAAAGTACGAAAGTCCTTCAAACGGCGAAGTTTTATGGGCAATTTTAGCAAGAGAAAATAGGCCATAACTCTGCTATATCCTTGAGTATCCTTGCGTATCCTATGTAAAATTGTATTAGCCAGGACTACAAGCTGGCCAAATTTCATAAGGATCGTCATTGTAGTTTCGGAGATATTCAAGGATTAGTGTTTTTGGTCGATTTCCATGCTCTCCGGGACTGAAATTTTATAAGTAAAAACACAAGTCCTGGGATTCTTAGATGACCCCATATTTTTTTGATGCAGATCGATGCAGACTGTCTATACGATCCTAATGCACCATGTCCTTTGAAAATCTGCAAGGACATGCCCGAGTTATGGCCTTTTTTCTTGTAAAAAATGTCTTCATATATTATTTAACTTGTTTAATTTAAATGTGTTTTTATCTTTTCAGTTTGACAAATTAAGGACTACAGTGAGCTCTAAGGACCTCAACGACTGATAAAGCAATTTTTTCCAGGATCGGACTTCAATTAAGCCAGATATAGCTATTTTAAGTTCAGATAAGCAACAATTATAACTTATGCTCGTTTTGTATAATTTTAAGAAAATTAGCATAAGAAACAACAGTTTTGTTAATTTAAAAATAAATAAATCAATTATATAAAATAAAAAACGAAATTCCGGTGTTTTTATTTAAATATTCAAAAATCAACGGTCTTTAGAAACCTATTGCATACCCGTGGAGGGCGTTTGTTGGCAACCGCTAGCTGCCGAGATTTTTCTTAAAATCGGACAAAATACCAGGCGAACAGAAATGCCCAGAAGGTCGACAAATAATATTTTTGCGTCCGAAAAATGACGTAGTAAAAAGGGGCACCCTCACCGCCGGTCCCAAATTTGCCCTAAATTCCTCTCAAGTACCAGGCGAACATAAATGCCCAGAAGGTCGACAAAATATATTTTTGCGGCCGAAAAATTCCATTGCATACCCAAACGGGGCGCCCTCGTTGCCGGCTGGTCCCAAATTTTCACTAAAATTCCACTCAAATACCAGGCGAACAGAAATGCACAGAAGGTCGACGAGTGCTTCGACATAAAATTTCCATTGCATAGCATTAAGGGGCAAAAATGTAACTAAATTACAATGAGTGCTGTTAAGTAGCAGTTTATGTAAAATGAGTGCTATAAGGCGGCTGTTCAACAGCAGCTGCAGCTGCAGCTAATGTAAAAGGGCTCCTGAATGAAAAATCATACATGTTTTTGGACCATTGCAATGCACATTTTGCAGGGATCTGATCCTTTAGGTTTCCAAGGACTATATCGATGGTATGGTATAACCAAGGATATGCTAGTCAACTAGAAACCATCCAGGAGGTGGGACTGTTGCTGGGGGCGGGTGTAAAAGAAAAGCATTTTCTACGCATTTTGCAAGAACTTTGTCCTTTAGGTTCGCTAGGACTATATCCATGATATGGAATAATCAAGGATATATAGGTCAACTAGGTACCATGAATAGCAATCATTTGCTGATTACATGTTGGCCATGGGGATTGGCAGAGATGACTGAAAAATATAAAATGAATTCTGTCATAATCTCGTGCACGTTCGCCGTTCCAAAGACGACATATTTCCGCGCAGAAATACTGTTTTTGTTATTTTAAAGAGACTTAATTCAGTCGGTCTAAAAACGACATCGCTATTTATTGATTATATGTTGTCCATGAACTTTGCTTTCAGATTATGCTGAAAAATACAAAATGAAAACTATATTAATTTATGTAAACTAAAATGCATCGGTTTAATTTTGCCAGACTTTGGAAAGATATACCTTAAAGGATTCGTGCATGAAATAACCAAGGTAATTCAGGTCATTGAACGTTATTGAATGTTTTCTTGTCCATGGCAGATTAAGCTGCAAAATTAAAAAAAAAAAAGTTAATTTTATTTTGTAAGCTTTAAATATCGCTTAAATTAAGTCCGACTTCGAAGGGATATACCATTTGGCGCACAGCAAACTGCGCGAGCAAAAATAATACAAATAATCCAAATAAGGTTAGATTTTGAAATTTTATACCATTTTGGACGCGTAGGGATCAGCACTATCGATTGGCATAAAAAAATTGAAAATCTAAATTTTCACCCAAATCGAGCAAAAAGCAAGGGGTAACATCACGTTTTTTGTCAAAATCTGGGTCGGTTCGAAAATCCAAAATTTTTTGATGATTTTTTTTTAATATATCCTGTAAATATTGTCCGATTTTTTAATTGGAATTGATAGAAGGGATTCGTTCGAATTCAAAAAGGTATAACATTTCCAAATCAGACAATATTTACCTCTAGCTCCTCTAGGTTCTGCAATCCTTGCGTTCATACATACGCACAGATGGACAGACGGACGGACGGACAGGCGGACGGACATGACTAGATCGACTCGGCTATTAATGCTGATCAAGAATATATTGACTTTATTGGGTCGGAGAGGCTTCCTTCTCCCTGTTACATACATTTGCACAAATACATTATACCGCTTTTACATATTTTTAATGGGTTCAGGGTATAACAAATAAAACAGTGTTTATGTTATATATGACGATAGCAGCCACCAGAACTTTTTCAAGACTAAGAATGTGTGTGCTCAAGATATGGCACAGCAACATCTTGCTATCTCTATCTCGTGTATAATTTATTTACTTCCACTGGGCACAATACATAATTGCAGATCGACGTAAAAACATTCATCAAGTAGCATACGTAGCTGTTGTTGCAATGAAGAGAATAACAGAATGGTGATGTCTTGTTAGATCGATTTGGCTAGATTTGGCTGAATAATATAAAATCCGTCATAATTCAGCTAAGCAGTAAGTCGAATCTTCGGAATATATATAAATATTTAGAACTAAACAAATTTGACTTCACAACTGATCTAATTTAGAAACAAATTATGATATTGCCAATGGCTTCCGATGCGACAGAGTTATCGCTTAAAATAAAATGTGCTTTCTTCTTTTTAGAAAACTTTGAAACCAAATATCTCGGAAACTAACAGAACGCTTTCGATATATTTTGGACAGTTGATAGCCCTGACCTATACAAGCTTTTTGCACAGGAATCGTCAGAATTCGCAGGGATATGACTGGTTTCGCCTGGAACATGGAACGGTATTCACCATAATCATGTCATAATAAATATAGTTGATTTAGTGTTTTTATATATTTAAGGAATGCATTTTTGAAATGTTATTTTCTAATTATAAAGTTTATTGAATTGTCAGAATAAAAATCTTGGTTAACTTGACTTATATCCCGACATACGTAGTTAAATAAATGTTTATTTACCTGGAAATGATACCAGTGCATTACTTAGAAAATACTAAAAAAAAAAAAACAAATAAAAAACACACTTTACTAGCAATTGCAAAAAGTGTGTGTATGCCTGAGCAACGAAAATGGCATTTGCCAGCATTTCTTGACAGGACCTTTGTTCCTCACATCCTTTTTATGGCAAGCTCGCCTGCGTATGCGACTGGAAAATTCAATTTGCAAAGTGCATAAAAGTAGCAGCAGCAGACGACAGCGTTGCCGATGCCGAGAGGATGCAACGTGTGAGATTTTCACTCCGCGCGTTGCATGTTTGTTGTTAAACAAAAGCGGCAGCTACTCTAACCCAGTTAGGTATACTACCATATACATACAGAGCCAGATCTAGAAACAAAAACACACCAAAAGCCAGCAGCCAGGGCCGGAAGCAAGAAGCAGAACTGCAGCAGAGGCAGACGCTGAGACAGACTCCACTGTTGATGCAGCGACTGCAAGCTCTGCGGGATGCGGTTAGAGGGCCAGGTGCATAGAAGCATGCAACAAACAAGTGGCACAGTGGCATAAACGTAAACGTAAAGGTAAACGCAGCGCCCGAGTGGCGCAAACATTGTAATTAAATCTACGTCAACATAAACGACGAATGCGAATGGAGATGGCAATGGGAATATCACTAGGAAATGGACTGATAGAATGAGGGGGGGAAATCGGTGTGTGCATGGTAAAGGGAATATATGTGTGTGGGTGTGTGCATGTGTTGGCGAGACTTTTGTAGGTATGCGTGCGTTTGCTGAAATACCCTGTAGTATGAGTAGGAATATAGACTGTAAGACTTGCCACTTTCTCTTCACATCCTTTTTTAGCATGTTATGCATATTCCAATTCACCAAAAAGGACATCTGTGTACCTCAGGTTCACTTTAACAGCACATTAGAGGGCATCGCTCAGTCGTGCTGATCTCATTTGTTACTAATTGCTAGTTCTGTTAACTGTTAGCTGTTGACTTTTGAGCCATAGCTGTGCACAACTTGGCCAGGAAAGTGACGCGGGCTTTGCCAGTTCTGTGTGTGTGTCTGCGTGATTGTGTGTGTGTGTGTGTTATCCTTATGACGGGCTTTGCTTTGCCGCCTGACACCGCCAAGGCAAGCGAAAGTTGCCTTCTTGTCGGTGCTGTTGTTGTTGTTGTTGTTACAGCAGAGATATACATCAGGTAGCACAGGTGAAAACACGAGAATAATTGTAGAGCATCCATTTCGTCAAGTGGGCGGGCAGGCAGCTGATCTCTGATCTCCACTTTGTAGTTTTCCTTTTCATATTGCCTTTTATTCTCTCTCGTTTAGTTAATCCAATTTGTTAGCTCACTTTCAATTACAATTACATTGCAAAAGGGAAGAGTCCTGTTTGTTCTGGCCCTGCGTCAAATTTCTTTATGTGGCACGTGGTTGTTGTTGTCTTTTTCGACATTCTGTACTTGACACTTTTCAATTGTTTTTGATAAGAGTAACTTAAAAGTTAAATTGCATTTAGCATAGTCAGCAAACGAATGAAAAACAAGTAACTGACAGTTGGTTTCGAGTAGCTGGCAATTATTTATAGCTTATTTTGTCACTCTGTGAAATACTTTTGTTAGTAGTAATCCCTTAAATAACTGAGTTAACTAATCTAATATTTTCTATATGGTAAAAATTAATTATATTATTCTGCTTGAAATATGAAAAAATGAATAAAAAGTTGTTTTGTTATTCCCACACATGCAAATATTTTGACATTTTCTTTTTCATTTTAAACAACATTATAATAAATTATATTATGTATGTACATATATGGGAATAATAAAAAAAAAAAACTGTGATGATATAATCATTTTTTTAATCACTAAAAATAAATTAATTTTCCAGTTCGTTTTTAGATTATAAGACACATATTTGTAATAAGTGAGGAATAATATTGCTTTTATATATTCCTATTTGTATCTCATAGTTTCTAGTACTTAGAATTGTTTTGCAGCCCAAGTAGGGCTTCACGTTTGTTTATTTAAAAATGAAAGCTGAAAGCTTTGTTTCAAGCCATTCGCAATAACTGCGAGCAGAGCAAACGCATATATCTGCAGCAATTAAAACGTAGCTAAAAGGCATAAATCACGCATACGCCCCATTGAGCCCGTGCATTGTGCAGTGGCCATAAAAAGCATACGCAAAATGATTTCAGCCTGCCTTCAAAAATCTACTCGGTTGACCTAATTTGTATCCATTAGACAGGCGATAAATAAACGAG